ATTTCATCCCAGTATCCCCAAAGTCTTAACTCATTCCAAGCATCAACTCTAGCATCTAAGGTCAAAAGTCTCATCTAAATATTATCTAGACTCAATTCATCCTGAGGCAAAATTCCTCTCCAGCTGTGAACTTGTGAAACAAGTTATTTGCTTCCAAAATACGATGGTGGGATGGGTATAGGATAGACATTCCCGTTCCAAAAGGGAGAATGTGGAAGGAAATAAGGAGTGACAAGTCCCAAGCAAGTCCAAAACCTAGCAGGGCGAGTTCCGTTAGATCTTAAGGCTTGAGAATAATTCTCCTTGGTTCAATGTTCTGAGGCAGCAGACTCATGCCCATTGCCCTGCAAGGCGTGGCACCCAGGGCTCTGCTAGCCCTGCCCTTTGAAGCCCAATTGGAGGCCATCTGGCCCCCTGGGCCTGTGCACTCTGCACCTGGGGTGGGACTGGCAGTCCTGATGGTCTCTGAATTGCCTTTGGGGTCTTTCTACCTGCCTTCTGTTGAGATGGCCAATAACACCATGGGTAACCTTTTTATTTGGTGTTCTCTCCTGAAGAAACTTCCTCTTTTTTTGCAATATGAGTATGAGAATTTTCCAAATCTTTAAGTTCTGGGGTTTTTTTTTTTCATTTTTTGTCTTAACAATTCCTTCTTTAATTCAGCTCTTGCCTTTCACATTTTACTATTAAGCTGTCAAGAGGAACCAAGCCACTCCTCCAGCACTTTCCTTAGAAATCTTCTCAACTAAATAACCAATTTCATTGTTCATAAGGTCTACCTTCCACAAAGCACTGGAACACATTGTAGTCAAGTGCTTTGCCAGTTCATAACAAGCAGCAGCTTTCCTCCACTTTCCAATAATCTGTCCCACATTTCTGCCTGAGACCTCACCAGAAGACCTTTAACATCCAAGTTTCAACCAGCATTTTGTTCATGATTCTTTGGGTATTCTCTAAGAAGAAGAAAGGTTTCTCTCTAGCTCTCTTTTTTCTTTCTGAGCCCTTACCAGTATCTCCTTTAACATCCATGTTTCACCCAACAGTCCCTACATAGCAATCTTGGCTTTTTCTAACATGCACCACAAAAGTCTCCAGCCTCTATCCATTACCCAGTTCTAAAGCCACATCCACATTTTCAGTTATTTGCTACAGTAGCACCCACATCTCATAACCAAAATCTGTATTAGTCAGGGTTCTCCAGAGAAACAGAAACAATAGGATATATATACATATATGTGTGTGTGTGTGCGTCTCTCTCTCTATATATAGACATATATAGACATATATACATATACATATATTTACATATATATACGTATATACATATATATATAGAGAGAGACACACACACACACACATACATACATGGTTTATTATAAGGCATTGTCTCATGCAATAATGGGAGCTGAGAAGTCCCAAGATCTGCAATCAGCAAGCTGAAGACCCAGGAGAACGGATGGTGTAGTTCCAGTCTGAAAATTGTTAGGCTGGAGACCCAAGAAGAGCTGTTTCAGTTTTCATGGAAGGAAAAGACCAACATTGCCTGCTCAAGGCAATCGGGCAGGAGGAGTTTCCTCTTACCCATGGGAAGGTCAGCCCTTCTGTTCTATTCAGGTCTTCAACTGATTGAACGAGGCCCATCCACATTAGGGAGGGCAATCTGCTTTACTCAGTCAACCAATTTAAATGCTAATCTTATCCAAAAATATCCTCACATGCATGCCTACAATAAGGTTTGACCAAATATCTGGGCATCCTGTGGCCCAGTCAAGTTGACACATAAAATTAAAGAAAACAATAACCATAATAAGAAGCTCAGTAAATGAGTTCATCAGAAAGATGAAGGGGACAAAAGAAAGAATCAGTAAAATTAAAGATAGAACAATCAAAATTAAGTGATCTGAAAAACAGATTGTTGGGCTGCACCCTGCAGGTCTACAAGGCCTCTACTTGCCCATCCTTAAGACTGAAGAAAGAGCCAGTGACAGAAACATCAATGGTTTAATGGATGGGGGAACTTACACCTCTGAAGCAAGGTCCTGGAGTGACACCCCACCATGTTTGGCGGATGGCAGGCAGGACATGAGGCCGTCTTTGCTCCCGGGGTGGAAGGAGAGATTGCCAGTTATAGGAGGAAATTATATCAGGTTACCTCATTGGTTACCAGGGAAACCAGCAGAGGGGTCTGTTCCTCACCACCCCTTTGATAAGCAGAGTGGAGAGTTCTTATCTAAAGCTAGAACAGTCATTAGCTGGGGCCTGGGGCAGGTATGTAGGTCAGTCATATGAGTAGGGTGTAGATGAAGTAGGCACTGGTCAGGCAAGGGATATACAGAGAACAAGGGAATAGCCATCTGGAGGGGCCTGTGACCATACACAGATGTAATAGAAAAAAAAGTGAAAAGAGCCTCAGTACTTGTGGGAATACAACAAAAGATCTAATATTCATGTCATTTGAGTCAGGAGAGAAAAAGAGAAAGAGGATGGGGCAGAAAAAGTATTCAAAGTAATAACTGGTCAAATGTCCTAAATTTGACCAAAATCTATAGATTCAAGAAGTGGAGTAAATCACAAATCAGTAAACCCAAAGAAATCCACACTAATACACATCATAGTCAAACTTCTGAAACTAAAGTCAAAGAAAAAACCTTGAAAGCAACAAGAGAGAAAAGAGGGCTTCCCTGGTGGCACAGTGGTTGAGAGTCCTCCTGCCGATGCAGGGGACACGGGTTTGTGCCCCAGTCTGGGAAGATCCCACATGCTGCGGAGCGGCTAGGCCCGTGAGCCATGGCCGCTGAGCCTGTGCATCTGGAGCCTGTGCTCCGCAACGGGAGAGGCCACAAGTGAGAGGCCTGCGTACTGCAAAAAAAAAAAAAAAAGAGAGAGAGAGAAAAGATATCTCACCTATAAAGAAAATATGGTTTGAATTATAGCAGATTCCTCATCAGAAATCATGGAGGCAACAGCAAAGTAACACATTTTTCAAATGCCACAAGAACTGTCAGAACAGGATCTTATATTCATTAAAAATGTTCTTCAGGTTTGAAGGGAGAAATCAAGGTATTTTCAGATGAAGAAAAACTAAGAGAATTTATTGCCAGCAGTCTATCCTAAAAGAGTGGCTTGGGACTTCACTGGTGGTCCAGTGGTAAAGAATCTGTTACAATGCAGGGGACGTGGGTTTGATCCCTGGTCAGGGAACTAAGATTCCACCTGCTGTGGGGCAACTAAGCCCGTGCACCACAACTACTGAGCCTGTGCTCTAGAGCCCGTGAGCCACAACTACTGAGCCCATGTGCCACAACTACTGAAGCCTGTGCACCTAGAGCCCGTGGTCCACAACAAGAGAAGCCACTGCAATGAGATGCCCGTGCACTGCAACGAAGAGTAGCCCCCACTTGCCGCAACTAGAGAAAAGCCCGTGCGCAGCAACAAAGACCCAACGCAGACAAAATTAATAAATAAAATAAAAGATGTACAATAAGATATACACAAAAACACTGTAAATAAATAAAAATGGAATCATAATAAATGTTCAGCTAACCCACAGGGAGTCAGGAAAAAGAAAATAGAGAAATGGAAAACATAGAGAATGGAAGACCAAAAAATCAAATAAAATGGCAAACTTAAGTCATAACATACCAATAGTTCCATAAAATGTAAATTATGAAAATACACTAATTGAAAATACAGACTGGCAAAGTGAATTAAAAAATATGACCCGGGCTTCCCTGGTGGCGCAGTGGTTGAGAGTCCGCCTGCCGATGCAGGGGACACAGGTTCGTGCCCCGGTCCGGGAAGATCCCACATGCCGCGGAGCGGCTGGGCCCGTGAGCCATGGCCGCTGAGCCTGCGCGTCCGGAGCCTGTGCTCCGCAACGGGAGAGGCCACAACAGTGAGAGGCCCGCGTAACGCAAAAAAAAAAAATATGACCCAACTATACACCATCTGCAAGAAGCTCATTTTAACATAATGATGCTTAGAGTAAACATATGGAAATATATACATCATTCAAATATTAATCAAAAGAAAGAAAGAGTGGCCATATGGATTTCAGGTAAAGTAGAATTCAAAGCAAAGAGAATTACCAGAGACAGATATGAACATTATGCAATCATAAAGGGTTAATTCATCCACAAGAAATTATAATCCTGAATGTGTATACACCAAATAACAGCTGAGAAATACATGAAAGAAAAAACCCACTGAATTGAAAGTAGAAATAGTCAACTGCACAATTACAGTCAGAGACTTCAGCACCTTTCTCAACAATTGATGAAGACAGAAAATCAGTAAACAATATAGAACTCACAACACCATAATCAACAGGATTTAATCAATACTTGTAGAGCATTCCACCAAGCAACTGCAAAGTACACATGACTTTCAAGTGTTCACAGAACAAATATCAAAATGAATCCTATTCTGAGTCATGAAATAAACCCCCATAAATGTAAAGAAAGTTGAAACCATACGGAGGGTGTCCTCTGACTCTAATGGAATTAAACTAGAAATCAGTAACAGAAAGATAACAGGAAAATCCCCAAACTGTTTAAAAATTAAATAACCCACATATAAATAATCAAATGTTCATATAGGACATCTGAGAAGTGACTCAACATAGCAATAACTACCATGCAATAAGGAGTTATCAGGTGGGTAACCGAAATTGGGTCATTAAGGGCTGTTGGAGGAGGTGACCTGCAATCTGAGAAGTGAAGACAAGAAAGAATTGCCTGGTGCAATTGCCTGGTGCAGGTCTAGGGGTAGGGAACTGCTTCCCGAGGAGCATACCCTAACAGGCAAGTGCCTCCACTTGCATTCTCAGTTACAAGCAAGGAAACCAGCCTGGTGTGTGTCCCACCATACTCTCCAGACTTCCCAAGCAGACTGCAGCTCATCTCATTCTTACTCACATATAGAACATAAATGCTTCTCTGTCTTTGGGGGACATAACCCCCAAAATATAACCATGATTCTTACTTGTGAAAATAACTTACAGCTGCCAAATTTCAGAGGGCAGGCATGAGCATCCATCGGGAAGTCTTCAAGTTGCATTGGGCACTCTGCCGAGATGGTCAAGCTGAAAAACAAGAGATGGGGACCTTTCAATGACTCACCGACTCTGGCTATTTACTGGACACCACGTTTTGAAAGCCATATTAAGCACTCCACTCATTATTTTAATTACTATCTTTTATGAAATTGTCTAAACTGTCCCACCAAATTACATAGGATTGCATTGTAGATGAATATCATTTAGAAATAAGGTTTAAATCAAATCTGCTCAGGAGTTCTGTGGCTTGGTGAGTGTCTGTACATACATTACCGCTTGTAAAGCAATTTGAGATGCCTTTAAAGATAATTTATTCTTTTATTCTCCCATCACTTACCCACAGTAATAAAAAAACTTCCCTTGACAAGGCTGAAAATATATGTATGTTCTAAAATAATTTATAAGCTCAAAAATATAAGTGTGGGGCTTCCCTGGTGGCGCAGTGGTTGAGAGTCCGCCTGCCGATGCAGGGGACACGGGTTCGTGCCCCTGTCTGGGAAGATCCCACACGCCGCGGAGTGGCTGGGCCCGTGAGCCATGGCCGCTGGGCCTGCGCGTCCGGAGCCTGTGCTCCGCAACGGGAGAGGCCACAACAGTGATAGGCCGCATACCGCAAAAAAAAAAAAATATATATATAAAAAAGTGTGGAATAAATACACAGTCCAAGTTTCGACCAGAAGCTGGCTATAATTATTGTGTACTGGGCTGATGTCATGAAACTATAGAGTAAGCAAAATTGTGTTATGATAGCAACTTTCTTATTGTTTTTAATCCAAGTCTGGTCTTCCAAATAATAATACCACCATTCACTACCACTGTCACCAATGACTAAAACAGTGCTGATCATAAGAGTTGCTTGTCTGGGCTAGGGACTGTGTTAAGTGTTTCACCTGCATTAACATATCTAATTAGAATAGCACAATGTATTGCTATTATCACCCCAGTGTCAAGGTAAGAAAGTGAGGCATGGATATTAAGGGATCCGGACAAGAATGCAGAGCCCCTAATGGCACGTGCCCCACAGGCTGTGTGACCCAAAACTCTGTTTGTACTTGCGGAGTCATCATGCTGTGGTGCTTTTATTTCCCTACAGATTTACTAATTAAGTAGTAAATCTAAATTTCTTTAATGAGTTAGTCTTCTGTTCTTAGTGTTTAATTCTATTATTTAAAATGAAATGTAATTGCATAAAATGAAATCAAATTGCACAATTTTCAACTTTAAACAGACGTTACAATTCTATTTTGTTATATTGTCTGGATCTTGCCCATGTGCCTGGGGTGAGAATAAAAATGTAAACACAATCATTTTTGCCTTTACTTCTTCCTTCTTTTAAGATAGCTTAACTTTTTTGCTATTAAATTGGGCATGTAATTCACACTTGACGATTGCAGATGGAGTAGTCAATTCATGTATTCTCTGAATGGAGCTAAAACGTGTCAGTGGAAGGAAGGTGTGTGCCCATCATGGAGAGGAAATCTGCTGCCTCTGCCTGGGGGTACCACTCTCCCCAAAATGGACTGAGTTCCAGAGGGTGTGAGTGCACATGCATGAGAATATACCACAAAAGTCTCATATTCAGGTGGGGAGATGATATCTAAAATTATACGCCACCTATGTTCGTAAAAGAGTATGGAAAATACAGAAAAGTTATAAAGAAGAAAATTACAAATACATATCATTTCACTTATAATTTCACCTGGTACACTTTGTCCAGATTTCTTCACAGCTATGGATGTTTTCTTTCTGTTCTTGGTTTATAAAATTCAGTCTTCTGTTTACCTAACATTAGAGAAGGGGCATTTCCCACATCTTTAAAATTTCTGCATAATCATGACTTTGAAAGGTAAAATATTTAATTCTAGCATGCAGATGTGTGTGTGTGTAATATACATATGCATATATCTGTATATGTGTGGACATCTTCAAGCATAAACTATGTAAAAGGATTATTATTAGAGACTACAAAATGGGGAAGGTAAAGGAATATTTACTTATTAGAATTAAGAAAACAGGACTTAAAAAACACAGCCTGTGAGAAGGACAACATAAAGGAAAATAGTGTTACTTTATATTGTTAGTAAACTTAAGCCATTTGTTAAACAAAGCAATAGTGGGGCAGAAAACTTAAGTGAGTCAAATATGTTCTAGAGAATAAAATCACAATGACTCAGTAAATCTAGAATTTCTTTGAGAAGCAAATTTATAGTAGGGAAATAAAAAGTATATATAAAGCTATAGTGCTAGGTACAAAGCAATAAATGTGAAAGTAAGCACATGAAGAAATGGTGATGTGGGAGAACAGAGAACGCTTCCGATTAGAAAAGTGCATCTCAGTGCTGGTCTACGGCCTCTGTTCCAACAGTTGATGGCCTTGGTGTAAGGAAGATGCTGGGCTCAGCCAGTGGGAACAGTGTGAGGGGGGGCAGGGTGCTTCAGGTGGTCCTGACTGTCCAAGCCCTGCTGTATGCACAGCAGACTTCAACCAGCAGACCCAGTGCTGCAGTCTTCAAGTTGCCCCCAATAATATCAACAACTATGGGCTGGACTCCCACCAGCAGGGTGACGTGGAGATGGTCCTTCCATGGCAGAATCTTCTCTCCAGACACTGCTATGTCTTGGAGCTCACATAACTGGGCTTCTGTCCCCCAGAAAACACTCTATGGCCCACTGGGTCTGGAGGTTGCCTTGAAGCCAGATCTGTTGGCTGAATTCTTGACAATGTGGTGAATCACAGTTAACTCCTCTCCCCCCTGCTTGGTGCTGGGTCTCTGATTTGATCCCCGGGGCCACTGGAGGCACTGCCACCTGCGTTCCTGTTCCTTGCCCTTACTTGTCAGAGTAGACCACTCAGGGAGACTTGACCTCCCACCTCTGGCACTCTGCCCACTCCTGGCTTTTCCTCCTTTTCCTCACGTACTCCTCTTTCTTGGCCAACACCGTGTGTTTATAAGAGAGGTGAGGAGCCATCTTTTCTGTCACTGTGTTCTCAGCATTTGGTGTCTTGTTTTATTCTAGCTGTTTGGTCCTGAGGTCTAGACCAAAACCACTGCACTGACAACATTTAACACTAGCAAGGAATGTACACCAAGGAGTCTGCTTTTAGCATACAGCAGGAGGAGAGAGGGTGGGTAGAGACAGGTGGACAGAATTTAGCTGGATGTAAAAAGAAAACCCTTTTGAAGAAAAAAATAATTCCAGTGAAAACATAAAAAAGATAATTCTACAATTACCATCTTGATAAATGCTAACATTAGAGCCTCACAGATTGTTCCCCCATTTTAATAGACCTCTTTAGAATTTGAATTCCAAACATCAGAAAAATATACTTCATCTATGATAGTGTCTCTCCTCTAAGGAGTGAATATATTATTCAGATAAATTCCCCAATAGCAAATGTTTCAACCTTAGTAAGAGAACAACACTTAAAATTTTGATCCTTTAAGCATTTCAAAAACAGCCTATGCTTTTATAGTACTCAAATAATATCTCTAGATAAGAGGGACCCTTCCATTCATGGGGTTCTTAAAATGCAGTGTCCTTTGATGTACAACCAACCTCCTTCACACAGAATTGAGATCAGAGCACTCCATGGAATGTGGACTGTCAGAGCTCAAAGGAGCCAGCCAGGTCACCTCCTAGAAACCCTTACTTTTCTCAAAAGGTTAAGGAATATGCCTATGGAAAAATTTACTGAATTACTGGTAGATCCAATGATCCTGCTTTTTTTCCCCAAAGGTCAAATTTCTGTTTCTAAAGACATTCAGGCATTGACTTATTGGAACATAATATCCCATTTTTGAACATCTTAATTTTAGGGTAAGAAAAAGGGCATTTTGTGAGTTAAGCTGTTTGCTTCAACTTGGATGTAAACTCCCTAGAGAGCCCTCTGCTTGCCCAGGGGCAGCCCGCAGTGGCATGTGCTTCAGATGTTAAAACAGGCAAATTCGGGCTTCCCTGGTGGCGCAGTGGTTGAGAGTCCACCTGCCAATGCAGGGGACACGGGTTCGTGGCCCGGTCCGGGAAGATCCCACAGGCCGCAGAGCGGCTAGGCCCGTGAGCCATGGCCGCTGAGCTTGCGCGTCTGGAGCCTGTGCTCCACAACGGGAAAGGCCACAACAGTGAGAGGCCCGTGTACCGCAAAAAACCCCAGCCAAATTCTAGAGTAGCTTTGCCATTAATGAATTGTGCAACTTTGTAAAACTGCCTAACTTCTCTGGTCCAGCCTTTCCATTTGAAAAAGAGAAATAGCAGCTGCTTTATTCTCTGAAAAAAACAAGAATAGTTAATAGGTGCATAAAGAGATTTCTACCCAATATGCTCTCCAGATCTGAGCCTTCTTCATTTACTTGAGAATATTCAGTGCAATAGAAGGTGTAGTGGTAGGCAGAATAATGGTCCTGCAAAGATGTCCATGTCCTAATCCCCCAAACCTCATGACTTGTGAATATGTTACCTTAAATAGCAAAAGGGCTGTGCAGACATGATTAAGTTAAGGCCCTTTGGAGAGGGGAGTTTATCTTGGATTATCCAGATGGGCCCAGGCGAATCACAGCAGTCCTTATGAGAGGAAGGCAGGAGTGTCAGTCAGAGGCGATATGATGACAAAAGCAGAGGTCATGGGATTGTGGTCATGAGCCCAGGGATGCAGGCAGCCTCTAGAAGCTGGAAGAGGCAGGAAAGGATTCTCCCCTAGAGAATCCAGAAGGAATGCAATCCTGCTGCCTACAGCTTGACTTTAGCCTCGTAAGACCTTTTTTGGACTTTCGACCTCCAGAACTAGAAGATAATAAATTGGTTGTGTTTTAGCCAATAAATTCGTGATAATTTGTTACAACATCTATAGGAAAATAGTACAAAATTTGGTACTTGGAAGTGGGATACTACTGTAACAAATACCTAAAAATGTGGAAATGATTTGGAATTGGGCAGTGGGAAGAGGCTGGAAGAATTTTGAGATTCATTATAGAAAAAGCCTAGACTATGTTGAACAGACTGTTAATTGAAATGTGAATGTTAATGATTCT